CCCTGGGTGAACATTTCAGTGAATTAGACATCGCCTGTATCGCCACCAGCAGTAAAGTACCGCAGCACACAGCTCCTGAAAAGAGCTAATGCAGGTGCCTCTGCTTGGTGCAGGATTTAGCACAGCACTTAGGACTCTTTCACCAGAGTGCACTGAGGCACACAAGCCTTACCAATGGTGCTGCTCCAACCACAGCTCTCTAGCAGCTTTAGTATTGGCTGAGGAGACCAAGTAGCTCGGAGTGCCCACTCTGAGGACCAGCTACCCCTGGGTGCATCCATCAGACCAATGCATTCCTGTGGCTGGGAAGGAGACAAGGCAGAAACATAAAGGCTAGGTACTTGTAGTTGATACTAGAGCTAGCCCTAAGTGTATAAATCCAGAGTATATTATAACATTTGTATCCCTACAAGGGATTTATATCCTTTTATTGACAGGTTTGCTGAAGAATTCACCTGGCCACAGAGGAACATATTTTCTCAGTTTTCTAGGATGCTAACCAGTAGACACTATATTCAGTCTTTTGATCATGAAGTTCCAAATTATTTTTTGCTAAGCCTTAAAAGTTTCAATGTGTCTGAACTTTAATGAACATCTGAGTTTTGCAAAAGTAAATGGGCCCTGTAAGCTTACTTGTGAATGTACAAATATAAGCAAATTAAAAACATGACTGTTTTTAAGGGGATGCTATCACTGAGATTCATTTTAATGAGAGACCCAAACACCTGTGCTGCAATGCCTTCAGGCAAGAGGATATATGCATACATGTAACTGAAGTCAAGGAGAAGCTTTAGAATAATTTCCATTGCTTTCCCTAATTACTACCATTACCTTTCATATTTTTAGCTCCAGATGAGGCTGTTTTTTGTGAGTTTCAGCTTTAGTGTTTCATGCAGGATGTCAAGATTAAGGCCTGAAAAAATGAGTCTCTAAAATGTTTTAAAATGATCAAGTATGCAATGAAAAAGAGACCTTTTCTCATTTAAAGAAAAATCTTACATCAGGTCTCAAGTAAGTAGCTCCAAGGTCAACAGATGGGAACTGAAATGCTCTATAGTAAAAAATGGCTACATTAGATTTGACTAATTTATGTGCCCCTAAAAACTACAGTGTGTTTTACTGGTGTGACCAGCAGACAAATCGTGACAAGTGAGCCAAAGCCATAATTCTTTGTCATGTCTTTGCCTGTTGCAATCTTGTAGCTCAGGTGGGGATCCACAAAGGAGTTTATCTGCCCAAGGTACAGAATTCCGACAGAACGGACAGACCAAGAGTGATGTATGGACAGAAGTGGTCAGACAGGTGAATGGCTGTGTAAATTACACCCAGAAATTTTACTGGTAAATATATATATGTGTGTGTGCAGAGATACTGAAAGAATAGATGGCAAGAAGCAACCCAGTTCCACTCAGTCATATAATCATTGTTATCTCAGGTATCCTCATATAAACTCATTAACCTTCAGACCGAATGTTTTACAAAAGCGGTCTCTAATGACTCAAAATTTCTATCCAAACAACATGAATATGACTCAGAGGTACGAAATTAAGCTATACAGTTGAGAATTGTCTCCTACAATGCACCACAGTTAAACTTTTTGCCAACCTGATCAGGTTTTGGAAACGACTCATTTTGTCTTTAATCCTTGAGGTCCAGCAGGAAATTTTAGAATAGGCATTGAGCACTCTGAAAGAAGAAGCAGCTGTTTAAATTACAGTATTAAGTCACCATTTTCTTTTACATCTTAGCAACAGCAGTCAATATCTCTCTTGTACATGGAGTCAACCTGGCATGTATGGATTAACCCTAGAAACTCCTGAGCTTCAGAAAGAAACCAAATATTTGACGAAGAAACTGGGATCAAAATCCCTTTCCCTACAGACTTCACTAACTACCTTGGTGCTTGTACACTAAATGCTGCTATTTTAAAGCAAGTTAGATGCTTTGACAATCTTGATTCTTTTGGATAAGTGTAAGTCATGCTCTGGTAATTCATATCAGATTTAAAAGCCTTGTCTGTTCAGTGCTCTGATTTAGGTATGTGCAAGTGTACCTTGCAGGAAAGAAGGATTTCAAAAGAACTTGCAGGTCAAATGAAGAATTATCCAAACAGCTGAGCAGCAGTGTTTGGACCATAACTCTGGATTTAAGTGTTTCAGTTCTGCATCTGATGCCTTAGTCATTTATTGGCTCTAATTTCATGTGTTTGGAAAGAATTTTTCCCATGGGAGATTTCAAAAAGACTGCAGCTAGTTTTTCTTTGGACATTCTGGATTCAGATGATTCTTATATAATTTAGAAAACATTTTAACTCAGCCCAGGCTATACCATTAGAAGTAAAAGTTGTTTTAGCAAACAAGATGTGCTCAGAACATGGCGACCTAACAACCTGTAATAAGGTCCTCAAAATACATACTAAATAGAGGAAAATGGAGATGCCAATTGCCCCTAGCAGTGACACCCACTATTCTCCTGTAACATTGTGTTGCATACTTGTTTTAAATATATTAGTAAAGAATGTATTATACTTTCTAAAGTAACAATAGATGGGGGAAAAAGATTGAACAATGTTATGTGTAGCTTTACTAAAGAAAACCTTTTAAGAACGATTTGATGGTGCCACTAGGAACTAATGGTGCTGACTAGGAACTAATTACAGCTGCCCCTCCGGCCTTGGGTTTGCTCCCAGGGAGGTTCTGCTTAGCCGGCTCTCGTACAGAAAGCAAAGACACCACACAAGCTGCTGCTGACGGGGGTGGGTTGGAAACAAGAGACAGAACGTGTTGCCATACTCTTCAAAGTGCTGCGTTTGGGATACGTGTCCATTCAGTAATTGCACATGAGTTTGGTCACAGCAGGATTTTGTGATTACACAGCTTAATTATTCCTTCCTTTTATAAAGGGCTCTTTGTTTTTGCCATTTGTCTTTCATATTCATCTACACTTTGTATTATGTTTCTGCTTGCTTGTCCCCTGCTTGTCCAATTCCTCCAGACTATTATTTGCCATTTCAATACACTCCGCCATGCACGCCTCGGTTTAATTTTCTCTTGCCTCTGCTCTTTCAGTTGTTTCTGTCCTGGTAGCTTTCAGCCTGCTCCTCTACTTCTAATTCAGCTCCCACTCACCCAAAACCTCTCATGCTGATTTTATTTAATATGCTATAATTAAGGGTAGGGTTTTTCAGCGAGATTTTCAGAGGTACATGCTTAAGGGGATGGACTTTTCATGGTGCAAGCTATTTATTATGCTTGTTAGAAACAATGTTAAAATAAAGGTGGCTACAAACACTCCAGGGTAGACATCTTTGACAAAGAGTTGACAATGGGGGCCTTTGTGAGACCCCAGCAACGAAACTGTCTTAAAATGTCTCTCTCCCTACTGCTTGGTTGAAAGGTGGGTTGCTCCACACAATTATTATTCTCTCTGGTTAAAAGTTAATAGGTAGGAGAGGACTGAATAATAAACAAGATACAGTTCCTGAATTGTCTAGGTATTCAAAAATAGCATATTATTAAACAACAAGCTGAGAGTGATCAGATACACTGCAATAGTTAGAAAAAAAAGTACTTCTTTAACCTGGTTATTTGTGTCAGGGACAGCAATGTTCGTGTGGCATTTACTGTGGTTTTGATTTAGGCCTCCCTGGACACTGATGTTTAACGGAATTTGAGGAATTCCAAATGGTTTCACAAACCACTTCTTACTCTGATGAAACAAAGAAAGAATAATACGAAGAGTAAAAATGCCTTCACACCCTGCTCTCATCAGAGTATTATGGGAAACATGTAAATAAAGAAAACAAATCAGCACCTCATTCACCCTTCATCAACTGCCTAACAACTTGCAACCAGTTAATTACACACCTTTAAAGTGCATGCAGGAGAAATGATTCAGAAAAAAGCTTCTGTAATGAGAAAGGACAGCACAGAAATACTGACTCAATACAGACCCAATACAGGTAAATTTAAGCCTTTAAATCTGACAATACTGAAAGAATGTACTGCATGTAATAGTAAGCTGAATGCTGCCTTCTTTATGCTAAGCATTTAATAATCATTAATCTACAATGATTGCTCTACATTTGGTTTTTGCTACTAACCTTTGTAACCTCTGCCCTTGAAAGCAAAATAAGGATTTACACATTACATAGAAGAATTGAATGCTAAATTGATTAAATATGTTGAAGAGTATTGAACAGTAAGTAAAATTAGGCTGAGTTACTTTCACATTTCTAAATACTTAGGACCTATGTAGACCAGTTGCTCAGGCTCAGTAAATACATTATTGCTATGGCTAGCAGCAGAACATAGATTTTATACTGATTTTGGAAATCTTCTGGACTTGTCAGGCTTTGTTGAGCTTGCTTTAGCATTCCTGCCACTGTTTTACTCTGCTTACCTGTAACAACAGTCTTATAATGATCAGGAGGGACTTCTCTAATGTACCGATTTCCACACTGGTGTGCAGTGCTAGGCAGAAGGACATGGGGAAATGGAATGAAGCTGGATAAGGGGACGTTCAGATTGTACATAAGGAAAAGGTTCTTCACTGAAAGGGGGGTCAGTCACTGGAAGAGGCTCCCCAAGGAAGTGGTCACAGCCACAAACCTGTCAGTGTTCAAGGGGTATCTGAACAACTTAGCCACATGCTTTAGATTAGGTAGTCCTATGGAGACTGGGGAACTGGACTGAAAGATTTTTATGGGTCCCTTTCAAATTGAGCTATTCTATCTTTCTGTGTTTTACCTTTTGGTAATTTTACATAAATTAGTAGTAGTATAGAATCATAACACATGGTAATAAGCAGTTGATAGAACGAAATGTTTATGCCCTTATCATAATAATAATGCAATGCAGGGGATTACAGTGTTGGAATGACAGGAGTGGGGGGAGGTGCAAGATGACACTGGAAACTTCAGGGTTGTAAACAAGTCAGTGTTGGTCAGCTAAAAATACACTGACCTGGGAAGTTGGGAAAAGCCAGTGGTAACAAAGCAAACAAACAACTCCCATCACACGGAACCAAACCATCTAAAGACCTGTGGAAAACACCAAAGGGTGAGCAAAGCACCAGGGAGGTGAATATTAGGAAGTTGTTATAAGAATTTTAGCTGTCTATTATAGATGTGGGGTTTTTTTCCTTGTAATAGCATTGGTTTTTTTTTTGGTAATTATTAAATCTGAACAGAAAAATCTTTCATGAGCCTTTCAAGAATTTACCTATGTTGACAACAGACTCTTGACTTTGCAAATCATGTTTGTTCTCTTCTTTCCTATGCAAAAATATGAGTGTAATAACTGTTCCTTGAGGAATACAAGATGATTAACTATCGTAAGTTATTGTTATATCATGGATATATTTTCTGGCCTTGAAAGCTCTGCTGTTTTCACTGACCTGTGATAGGATTTCAGGAATAAATTTCTTGTGTTTTAATTTTTCTCTTTTTCCCTGAAGGAGAGGTCACTAGAGATCCCTCTAGTGCTCTGTGTCTTGCCTGACCAACCATAAGCAAAATCTACTTTATTCTCACCAGACTGTGTTTCAGTGTGTATGAAGCATAACATGAATAATATGTGCTGGTCCAAGGTAGCAGGAGTTAGGTTCCCAGTCATGTAATGAAATGGAGATGTGTAATAATACAATACTGAAGATGCTGCAATCATATTTTTTCCAGTACAATAGCAAGTTTAAGATTTATTGCCCTCTTTTGTGCCACACCATTGATTGCTGTCCTTGGGCCACAAGTTCTTCAAGCCGCTGTTGGACTATATGAAGTATTCATCTGCAATATCCATTAAGCAATCAGACTTTTTGATCCTGTGCCCTTTTTTCACTGCACCTTTCCTGTGCTCTGAGGCAGTTGGATCTGGCCCAGTATTTTCCTCCAAAATGCACTCCCTCAAAGCAGTACACTCAACACCATTCAAACATTCCTTTACTATATGGAGGAAGATAAAAACGCCTTAAATACCCTACAGATAGTTGTATTTGCAAAGGTAAGGACTAACTCAAAGCAGGTCTTGAATATCTCCCATAGATTTTCTGTAGTCTTAAAATGCAAAATTAAATTAACCTGGAGGAAACTGAAGTAAATGTGCTTTTAGCTTAAAGCTTGCTGTTTGAGAGTCTGATGAGAGTCTTTTAAAAGGATATTGTAGTGTAAAAGTTTTGTTTATTGCCAAGAATATTTTAGTGGTACTCTCAACTGAAAAGTAATTGAAGAGATGTGTAAAAAGGGCTCGTTTTTTCTTTATTTCAGTCACAGATGCATCGAAACATAGAAGCAGCAAAACATTTTCAGTACCTCCTTGTTAAGAGTTGAAAGCAAAAAACCTTGTCATTTACTTTTGGGTACCAATGCAGTTGTGGTAGAATACTTATAAAAAAAAAAATGGTGCAAATATTGGTCATGCATCATTTGCAGCTCATAGTTTTAATATCAGCTTTGATAAATTTCACTTTATCTACAACTAAATAAAGAGTAAGAATGGGCATTTCCTGCTAGTTGCCTAGCACACACCTGATTTAAAAATGAAGAGAACTGATAAGCCATTATTTGATCTTGAGAGGTTTGTAGCAAAAATCTTTAATCTGAAAAGAGTTTCAGCTCAAAAGTTTTAGAGGGAATTATTTCATACTGTCAGCTTCAAGTGCATGGAAACATTGTGGCACATTTCTATAAGGTGTTTCTCTTATGTTACAAATAAAAAGACAATATTGTGTTTTGCAGCAATATTTGTAAACAATTAGTGAAGGTTTCACAGTGAAATATTTACATGAAAATGGAGATGGTGGATAGCAGTGGCCAAATACTCTGTTAATTTCTACACAGTGCATTGATAGCATACTTAAAGAATCTTAAAGACAGCACACTATTCAAATGTGTTAAAGAATACATTAAATAAAGGATTAACCAACAACAAAGTTAGTAAGACTTACTTGATTGTAAAGGTAATGCTTATTTAAAAATGTGTCAAGGGAAAACAAAAAGTGAGATAGGGTAACAATCACTGGTTTTCCCTGGGTGGCATATATGTTGGCATCAAGAGATATATATTAAATCATGTTTTTCAGAAAACAAAATCACACCAAAGCTAATCATGTTCCTTTTGTAAAAACGTTTTAAGCATGTTGTGGTTTAAAAGACAGATGGCTGCAAAGGAAGGCAGAAACCTCCCCAGAATGGAAAATGTGACCCTCTCCCAGTTCTTGTGGCACCCTACACATTGGCTCTGGACCCTCAAACGGCTGGGAAACAGGGAGAAGGTGAGAAGGGTTGTGGTGTAGAGGCATTCCCAGTCCTGGGTTTTGGCACCACACACACTGGCTCTGAGCTCCTGAGTGGCAGGGAAGCAGGCAAGCAAACCGGCAGGCCCTGGTCGCAGTGCTGAAGGAAAAGAAAAAAAACCAACAAAAAGACCCTACAGGGCAATAGGATCTCAGTCCAATCCACTCACTATGGTGCGTGGATGCAGCAATCCCCAACTGGAGGGAAGGACCAGCTCCAACCCCTGCAGGATCCCGGGCCCCCCTTCACCCATCATGATATCCCCTGAGCAGTGGCAGGGGACAGGGCGAGGGGGAAGGTGGTTAGGGCAGTGACAATTCCGGGCACAAAATTACTCTGGGATAACCCCATCACCATGAGCCACCCCCCCGCCCAGCCCCACAAAACACAGCATTAAAAGTGGTAAGCACTGCTGAAAGGTTTGGATTTTACAAGATGTTGGGCATGTCATGTTTGGAATACCGTGTAACAAGAAGTTTTATAGATTATGTGTATATAATTCATGTACCTTGTACTAAAAATGGCCTTAAAGTGTGCCTTTCAATTCAATTTATTAATAAGTACTCTACCACAGTGTCTTCTAAGATAGCTGACTCCTATCTCAACAATTGTGGAAATATTTTATCTCTGTAGAAAGACAAGGTCAGATTACAGACAACAATGCATTCATACTTTTGTAGCTCAGCCTCGAAGTCAAGATCAATTCAATTATGAACAATTTTATATTTGAGCTTAAAAATAATAGTAATAAATTGCAAATATCTGACTGCACAGACAGGCAGAGGTGTCATCTCACATTGGTTTCCAACAATGGCCTGACTAGTAGAAGTATCTCCAAGCATCTAGTTAGGAACGTCCTGAGCCAGAAGTAGTTTCTATGTGTGTGCTAATCTCTAACAGATTTTCCCTCCATGAACTTGCCCACTGACTCTTGAAGGTACATGAGCTATGTGGAAAAAACCTCCTTCTTCAGACTGTACTGGCGCTCGCACTTGTTACAGCAACTGATAAAAACAACTAATCACCGAATGAAAACACAAGCCCTAGTGCGTCCATCTGCACCAGCCAGGAAAACCCAGCCGCCATCCACGAAGCCAGCACAATGCAGCCAGCTCTGTATGCAGCAGATGTGGCTGACACCGGTCCCCATCACATCTGGTGTGCTCATCGGCTGAACAAAAATCCTGCCCTTTTGTGTGGGTTACACTGTATGCAAGGTACAGAACAGCTTGGTGCTGAAGTATTAAGAACTCCCAATATTACATATGAATATCCAAACAGATTTATTGTTGTCTAATTGCCAAAAAACGTCCACAAGTGTAAACTCCTTGTGTATATGACTATGCACCCTCACTGAAGGAAAACAGCCACTGCAATGCAGCATCCTCAGTTTTTTGGGGACTCAAACTGTAACTACAGGGGCTGAGAAAGGATCAGGCCAAGTACCTTATTTCGTGCAGGGCCTGTCTGGCTCTGTGCGCGGCACAAGGCGAGCCCGTCAGGCCGCCCGGCGCAGCGCCGGCAGCCGCGGCCCCTCAGGGCGGCTCGGGGCGGCCGTTCCGGGAGCACCGCGGGCCTCGCGCCCGCACGTCACGTGACGCGGCCGGCTGCGGCCCGCCCCCCGCGGAACGGAGCAAAGGGTAAGCGGCGGGAGCGGCCGGGAGCCGGGCGGAGCCACGGGAGCCGGGCGGGCTCGGAGAGTCGGGGCGGGGAAGGGGCCGGGAAGCTCGCTGGTGGAGGAGGGCGCGGAGACGAGCGAGAGCAGAGGGGGCTCCGGGTGCGGTGACGGGGACAGGCAGGCGCCGCGCGGCGGGCCCGGCCGCGAGCTCGCGCCCGCAGTCGGTGCCGCCTCTGGCCCGCCCCTGCCCCCGCCTCCGGCCGGCGCCTCCCCCGGGGCGGGCCGCCGTGGGGCCGGCGGAAGCGCCGCTCGCGTGGGGCGGCCGCTGCTGCCCGGCTGTGTGCTTCCTCACTTCCTTGCCCCTCAGATTACCGAGCTATCTATTTCCCGTGGGAAGGGACGGAATTCAAAAGAACCGGCCGAGTCAATAGCGAGAAGCAGCGCTGCTCTGTGCTCTCGCCGCCTGTCAGAGGCGGTGCGGCCGGCGGTGTGCCCTGCTGCCCGTGGAAGGCGGGGTGCTGGGCGGGAGAATCGGCTTGGAGGCGGTTCTGCTGCCGTTCTTGGCGTCATGTCTGCGAGTGGGGCTTGTGCTGGGCACGGTGCTTGGTCCTGGACTAAATGCAGTTCTTACTTCACGTATTTTTCTGCTTTATTAAACTTCTGTCACATCTTGTATTTGTCCTACGAGGACTACTATTAGTGGCTGTTCTCTGATGGAGTGGCTTTCCTGCTACCCTACAGCCTGGACATCTGGGAGAATTTTTTGTTATTGTGTTTCTTGTTTGTTTATAATGATATAACTTGTCCTAAAGCGGCTGCTTTTCCACGTCTGGTGCTTGTCCTGCAATCTGTTCTTCGTCTGATGCTTCTGTGTATAAAGGCTGCAATGCTTGAAGCTGAAGAGATTCAGTCAGTTCCTAGACACGTCTCTCTGGTGTTCCTACTTTTTTTTAAGGCAAATTTTCTTGGAAGTTGGCAAAAACCTTAGATAGAAAAAGTGCAGCTGAACACCAAGTAGACCCTAACCTTGTAAAATCTTTTAATTAGCCGGTATTCCATTACAGAAGTTTTAAATTTTTTTTGGTATTACCATTCTTGTTCTGTGGATCTGGAATTCACTGAGCACACCAAGATACCAGAATAGGCAAAGC